CCTATGCTCCTGTCACCCCACAGACCCCCAAAGCTTGACCCCTGTTGACATCTGACTCACCCTGTCCACTTTTGGATGTACTATATTGGCATCAGATCAGCACTGCCTCTCTGTCATCTCACCTTGGCCTAGAAGTGATCTCTTTGAGATGTGACATGCACAGCCTCCCCCTAATGTGATTCCAGTGCACTTTCCCAGTTCCTGACATTACTTGACTCATACTTTGACATTCTGACTGTCTCTGACTCACCTATTGCCAATACTTACCAATCTTTTGACTTTGCTTACTGATTCTTCACTTTTTGGCTTGCTAATCCTTACCAATGTTTACCAATGCTTTCCAAGATGATTACCCATCACTTACATTCCTTACTCATCAGTTACCAATCACTTACCAAGTGTTTGCACCTTGTTTTCCAAGGGCAACACCCCTGTACTGTATATAAATCACTGTACTTAGATAGCAAAAAAAAAAAGGAAGACATCAGAGAGCCCCTCTTGTTTGCATTTTATCATCACTCAGTAATTCATTCAGCAGCTTTGATAGTTGAGACTTTATTAAGGGTCTAACTATTGTCTACTTTGCTTATCCTTGTCTATCATCAATATACTTCACTCCAGGCCCTCCCTGAGCTCAGTGCAGCTTAGAACATCAAATTAAGTTGCCATCCATCCTTCTGTAGGCTGACAGCAGTCCACCCTATTGCTTTCTATTGCATTCTTGCTCCCTCTTCATCAGGAGCACCCCCAACCCTCAGCACTTGTCCTTGAGTGTTGTAGCTTGCAAAAACCCACCCAGGTCAAAGGTTCTACCATCTAGGTACCACATAGGCACACCACCACTTGCTCTTTTTGTCTTTTGTGTTGGTTTTGGTTGGTTTTCACCACTGAACCACACTTTGACTCACACTGTGGTGGGTAAGGATGTTGAAACAGTTAGATGGGCCCATGACCAATTAAGTATACTGAGTTGCTGTAAGACATGGACAGGCCCATCCTGGTAGGTTACCCCCCTGTTGCAACATCAAGGCAGGCCCACCTATCATAACATGGAGAGGGTCACAACATAAGGACAGGCCCATCTATGATTAGAATACAAAGTTGGCAACATATGGATGGGCCTGGGAGTAATATCATTTATGGTGTTGCAACATCTAGACAGGCCTGTCAGTAATGTCATTTCATAATGTCACAACATATAGATGGGCCTGTTGACAGTAAGATGTACTGCTGTTGAAACATAAAGACAGGCCTGTCACTAGTATCATTTAATAGAGTCACAACATAAGGTCAGGCCTGTCAGTAGTATTATGCAACATATGGATGGGCCTGTCCACAGTAAGATGTACCTCTGATGAGACATAAAGATGGGCCTGTCAGTAATCTCATGTATAGCATCACAACATATGGGCAGGCCCTTCAGTAGTATTATTTATATTGTCGCAACATATGGGTGGGCCCAGCCCCAGTAAGATGTACCCTGTTGAAACATAAAGACAGGCCCATCACTAATATCATTTAATAGAGTTGCAACATATGGACAGGCCCTTCAGTAGTATTATTTATATCATCACAACATATGGGTGGGCCTGGCCCCAGTAAGATGTACCCTGTCGAAACATAAAGATGGGCCTGTCACTAATATCATTTAATAGAGTCACAACACATGGATGGGCCCTTCAGTAATATTATTTAGATTTTCACAACATAAAGACAGGCCCATCAGTAATCTCATGTATAGCATCACAACATATGGATGGTCCCTTCGGCAGTATTATTTATATTGTCACAACATATGGGTGGGCCCAGCCCCAGTAAGATGTACCCTGTTGAAACATAAAGATGGGCCCATCACTAATATCATTTAATAGAGTCACAACATATGGATGGGCCCTTCAGTATATTATTTATATTGTCACAGCATATGGATGGGCCCATCCACAGTGAGATGTACCTCTGATGAAACATAAAGACAGGCCCATCAGTAATCTCATGTATAGCATCACAACATATGGACAGGCCCTTCAGTAGTATTATTTATATTGTCACAACATATGGGCAGGCCCAGCCACAGTAAGATGTACCCTGTTGAAACATAAAGACAGGCCCATCAGTAATGCTGTTTAAAAGTGTCACACCATAAGGACGGGCCCATCAGTAGTACTGTTTATATTGTCACAACATATGGATGGGCCCATCAGTAATATCATCTAATAGCATCACAACATAAGGACAGGCCCTTCAGTAGTATCATGTATATCATCACAACAAATGGACAGGCCCATCTAGCAAGATGCACCCCTGCCACAACATAAGGATGAATTTGTGTATGGTATTCTTAGGCAGCAGAAAGGGAGATCCAAGCTATCTACATAAGGATGGTCCATGTAAGGCATTCTCAGGCAGCAGAAAGGAAGATCAAAGGGATCTACATAAGGATGGGCCCATCCATGGTATGCTCAGGCAGCAGATAAGGGAAAACAAAAACCAGTGTTACAACATAAGATGGGCTGATCTGTCCATTGCAGGATTACAAACCCTTGGCACTGCATAAGATGGGCCAATCCATTGTATCATAGATAGCTCACCACAAATGGATGGGCCTATCCATAATTGGGTTATCCCCCTGTCACAATATAAGATGGGCCCAGGAAGACAAGAAATGAAGAAAGTGGAACCTCTCACACTATAGAGTATCTGAATTTCCCACTATAAATTGTGTTTCACATTGGACAATTTGCCTATTTAGTTGGAATCTCAGGCACTGGTCTATGTAGCTGCAAGCCAGGCTCTGCCATTGGAGCAGACAGGAAACACACAAAACAAACAGCAATGCTATTCCAGAACAACACTGTAAGTCAAAGTGTGGTTCAGTGGTGAAAACCAACCAAAACCAACACAAAAGACAAAAAGAGCAAGTGGTGGTGTGCCTATGCAGTACCTAGATGGTAGAACCTGTTCTTTGGGAGGGTTTTTGCAAGCTACAACACTCAAAGATGAGTGCTGAGGGTTGGGGGTGCTCCTGATGAAGAAGAAGCAGGAATGTGAGAGAATGCGATAGGGTAGACTGTTGTCAGCCTACAGAAGGATGGATGATGACTTAATTCGATGTCCTAAGCTGCACTGAGCTCAGGGAGGGCCTGGAGTGAAGTATATTGATGATAGACAAGGATAAGCAAAGTAGACAATAGTTAGACCCTTAATAAAGTCTCAACTATCAAAGCTGCTGAATGAATTACTGAGTGATGATAAAATGCAAACAAGAGGGGCTCTCTGATGTCTTCCTTTTTTTTTTTGCTATCTAAGTACAGTGATTTATATACAGTACAGGGGTGTTGCCCTTGGAAAACAAGGTGCAAACACTTGGTAAGTGATTGGTAACTGGTGAGTAAGGAATGTAAGCAATGGGTAATTGTCTTGGAAAGCATTGGTAAGCATTGGTAAGGATTAGCAAGCCAAAAAGTGAAGAATCAGTAAGCAAAGTCAAAAGATTGGTAAGTATTGGCAATAGGTGAGTCAGAGACAGTCAGAACATCAAAGTATGAGTCAAGTAATGTCAGGAACTGGGAAAGCACACTGGAATCACATTAGGGGGAGGCTGTGCATGTCACATCTTGAAGAGATCACTTCTAGACCAAGGTGGGATGACAGAGAGGCAGTGCTGATCTGATGCCAATATAGTACATCCAAAAGTGGACAGGGTGAGTCAGATGTCAACAGGGGTCAAGCTTTGGGGGTCTGTGGGGTGACAGGAGCATAGGGGATCACAACTTTCCCCCCCAAACCATCCTCTCAGTGAAGCAAATAAAAACTTCATGAATGAGGCTCTGTTGGAAGAGAGGATGAAAGGGGAGTGTCTTCTGCTGTATCTTGCAACAAGGAGGCAAGATGTGCATCATACTCATCATGGATGTGATCAGGGAGAGTGGAGAACAGTAGATTATACTGTAGCTGTCACAATCTTGGAAGAATGATGGACAAGACCGGTATGAAGACATTGCAGGGAGCAGGGAGGAAGGATCCATATGCTTCTTGGACTGGAGAGACTGAAACAACCACATAATACCTTTCCAAGTGAATGACAGACCTGAGGTGACCAAAGAACATCCTCCTAGAGGTCATACTGACAAAAAGAACATGCTGTCCAAGCTAGATGGGCTGAGAGGGCACAGACGAGGGTGGGATGTACCAGGATGCTTCAGGACAGAAGCTGGTAGGAACTCCTGGTAGATATATGTAGCCATGGTCCCTAGCAAAGGGGACAAGTGAAATGACTGATGTAGAGGCAGCCATATCAGAAGAATTTAGTGAAATGAGTGTCTTTTGGAGGGAGTGCTGTAGAAATGTGTGGAGTCTGCAAATCCTTTCCAATTTTGGAAGGTAAGATCACGTGGCTGAGCACTACAAGCAAGTGTGGGAATGGTCTTGGTATCTGCAGAAATGGCAGAGATATGTCAAAAACCAGAATGCCATACATGGGCGCTTAAGAATTTTAGCCAGCACTTAACCTGCTCCCTTTCCTTTTCTCTGGCACTGATGACCTGTTCTTGTGCAAGGGATGACTGCTGACATTCCTGGCTGTCCTTCTTTGCATGGGGGCCATGGTCTTCATCTCCATTCATCAGCTGTATCCATGTCCACCTCACCAAACACCTTTGGTGTGTGACAATGGGCCCTTCAGCAGCATTATTTATATGGTCATAACATATGGATGGGCCCTTCAGTAATATCTTTTATATCACCATAAAACAAGGATGGGTTTGTCTAGTAAGATCCACCCCTGTCACAACATAAGATGGGCCCAACACCAATAGCATGTATAGTGTCACAACATATTGATTGGATCACAGCAAAATATTGAGGCAAGCATCCCAACATGCCATAATTTTCCAACAAGCTGCAAGCAGCTTGCCCACTATACAACTCCAACCTCATCCACCCCAAGCATGAATACTATGCAAGACACATCTAAAACCCCCCACATCTGGTGAATGGAACTAATGGACTGCATTGCATCATACATGAAAGCCAGATTTCAAGAGGAGGTATTCAGCAGACCTTGCACCCTTTCCAGATATATTGATTCCATTTCCAGTGTTATGTGAAGCAGATCACATATTGTCAGTAATCTCACAGGCCTATTGTCACCCAAGTAAGTCCATCATAATGGTGCAATGGAAGTTTTCATCTTTCTGCAGTCAACATCAGGAACAATCGGGATGGAAAAACCTGCAATGCAGAAGCTGCTGAGAGATATGCCAAAGTGACTGAGCCATCCATTCTGGTGACTGACTCAAACACCATCCACATTTGGTATTTGCTGGATGCTCTCAGCCCAAAAAGAAGGGTAAGGGAATGCAGAATCTCATATTCTACTGACTTAATGCAATGGCAGGCCAACATATGGAACTGCCTTCATCTTCTGAGGGAACCACTGCAGGAGAGCATAAAGGCTTCCCCACAGGCATGGCAGATGGACAAGTCATATTTCCATGATAATGCTGAGTTGAAAGGTGCACCATCAACCTGTCACCTGCATGGTTTCAACAGGGTCATGGGGTGGGTGATCATTTCTTTCCTTGTGCATAAAGCACTCATCTGTCTTGAAGCCCCAAAATGGCTTCCTGGAAGCCTCATGGCTGCTCAAATCCAGGATGGAAAACACTTCTACAAGGGAATGGGTCAACCAAATGTCTGACACCAATGCCCTGTTATCTGCGATCCTGCATGTCATCCATCCACAAATATATGCAGATGGCAGGGAAGCATTGATCCACCTTGGTGAACAGGTGGAACAGTGGGCAGATTCAGATATGAGCTCCATACTGCCAATATGGAGCTCCACATATAGCAGCATGTCTGTGATGGTGAATCAGGCAACTTGTTACCACAGGGATAAATGGACAGGATCCATGGTATGACATGCTGGTAACTATGGGCAACTACCCACCCTTGGACTTTGTCATTCCAATGTTGAATCTGCAGCTGCACTACAACCCAGGGACGATCATTGCATTTTCAGGTTCAGCATTGGAGCATGGGGTGGGAGCTGTAGACAGTGACAGAGCATGCCTGGTGAACTACATGCATGCCAATGTACATCAGTCAGTGCATGTTCCCATGTGTCAATCACTGTGGATGGATGACCTACTACCTAGACCAGTTGCAACTGGAGAACTGTTGATTTGAAGCTGCAAAATTTAATGCAAGATTTAGTAGGCAATGCAGATCTCATATTTTATTAGGATATGCTGGCTCTTGAACTTCAGACGGGTGGTGTTGCCAAGATTTTGCAAATGGGTGGGTGCTTCAACATCATAGATTGGGCAGGTACTCAGAGCTAAAGGGTGTGCATCATAAACTGCAAAAAAAATAAACCTACTCAGGCCATCATGCAGATGGGTGGATTGTCAGACATCACATGGATGGGTGGGGGTTCAGACATCATGTGAATGGGCAGTACCTCATAAATGATCAACATTCACAGCAATGTATATTCAACCAACTCCACGGTCAAAAACATGTAAACTATTGAAGCAGCATGCCCAACAACCCATGCAATGCCCACCACCTAGCATAGAAATGGTCAATTTGTTGACCCCAACCATTGACAACATTGGCATATTTCTGAATATTTTCAATGCAGTAGTTTACCTGCTCCTCAATATGGCCATCAAGATGGTCTGTGATTGGCACCTCAGGCAATGGCCATCAGCCCTGGGCCATCATCAACTATTTGCAGCAATGAGAATAAGCAGCATACCTTAAAAAAATCCCAGGCCACAGAAAACAATCCCTTGTCTTGCAATCTTTGGGAATCTGCTGCATATTCCTCGGAACAATATAGCCACCAAGGGAATGCAAAGCTGGAATTGGGATCAGCTGCATGTGGGGTCCAATGTGGGATGATGGTGCTGATATTGTTGATTATGCAAAATGTGCTAAGGGGAATTAGCTGCATTTGATTGCAGAAGCTAACCTCATCATCTTGGTGTCTGAGGTATGCATGGTAGCACACCAGGAGGGGAGGAGTATAACTGGCATGCAACACTGTCACCAGAATCAAGCTATTAAGCTGATTCTGAAGGAATTATGTATCAGTCCCACATTGTGAAAAATTGATGTAAAACCTACCAAGTCCATTGCTAGGTTTGCAAACCAATGTGCAGGCCATTCCATGGTATTGGCAGTCTGCTTCAGATGTACAGAGGCCACCTCAATCCAGCATGCCAAGTAGAGGATACCAATCTCTACCACAGACTGGCAATGAATGGCCCAGGACAATTTTCAAAGGCAGAATGCAGATAATGAATGACTTCCATCAATTTGAGCATATTGACAAGTCAAAGGCCCTGAGAGGCTGCACCATACTGGTCCCTTGCAGCTGTGCCCAATTCTCTTGCAATGGCATTTGCAGCCTGCACAAGGTGCCTATCAAGGGTGGGATTGAATGGTGTGTCACTGGGAGTGGTGTTTCCACAATAGAAAGATACTGTGGCATGTAAGGCACACAGGACTAAAATTATCAATGTCAAAGGTGTATCAGATTAAGCTCATGCCCATACCTTGATCGCAATGTGGAACAGGTGCCAATCCCCATTGTTCCATTTGAAGAGATTGCTGTGTGGATGGAAGTTCACCTACATAATCAATGGATATCACTGATCACATGAATAGAACCAAATAAATGCTCACCATTGCATATTTCCTTGAAAAGATCCCTCATCTCTGATTGTTCAGGCATGCCAAAAGTCAAATGGTTTGCATCATTGTCCTCATCTGCTGCCAAGTCAAAAGATTTGATGGGTACATTTGAAATGAGTGGGGGAGGCATTGGTTCCCTCATATCCTGCAATTGAGCAAGCAGTTTAGTCAGAGAATCAGGTTGAGGAGATCAGTCCCTCAGATTTGATGATTCACAGGTGATGGGCAGAGGAGATGGTTCCCACACATTCTGCAAGTCTGCCAGAAAATTGACCTGCATAGTAATGTCTTGTGCAGGTGGTGAAGACCCATCCATCCTGTTTAATTTCTCATGTGTGACTGGTGGTGCCGATGGTTCCCACACATTCAGCAATTGCTCAAGTAGATCCACATTCATACCATCCACTGGGGGAGCAGTTGGTTCCTGTCCATTCAGGAACCAATTCATCAAGTTGTCATGTGGATCTATTACTAGAAAATTAGTTTGTTCATTAGCTTGAAGGGCAATCATGCCAACTCACCAGCTGTGATTCTGCCCTCTGCCAGAGCAGTTGGCTCCCTTTCCTGCAGGAACTGATCCAGCAAGCTTTCACATGAATCTATAGCAAAAGAATGTTTGTTGTTTAGCTTGGAGAGAAATCATGTTCACTCACTGGCCATGATATCCATGTTTGACCCTGCCATATCTGCCCTTCCACTTGAGACAATTGGTGGAGGGTTGGCTCTTGCAACTCATGCAGTTGTACTAGCATCTCCTCCAGATTTTTGGACTGCTTCACATGGGAGCTAGATTGCCTTGGCTCGATTGGTCTTACATTAGCTGTGGATGGCTTAGGTTGCTGGATCCAACATTGAAAGACCACCTCACCTTGATGATGGAAATGAACTTGGCAGGACTGTTTGGTGGACATATTTGATGATGATGGGTTCACTGATAGGTCAATGATCAATCAAGATTTAAACTTGTAGGAACAATGGCAAGAATATCATTCACACCATGGGAAGCAAGGTTGGACAATGGCAGATGAAGCCAAATTTTGGGTAACAGCAATACATGGGAGATGAGCAGCAATATCTCCCTACATAGATAGCTACCAGTTGCTTTCACATGGCCAATATATAGACCTGTCCCACTCAGCTCTCCACTCAGTTGTCTTGCTCAACTGTCCCACTTAACTATCCCTCTCTCTGATATCAAAGACACCTCTCACAACCACCATGGTGTCATGAGCTACCATACATGTCATACACTTGTATTCTAATGTGTCACACTAGGCTAAGTCCTCTATAGACTGTACACAAGTTCCAAAAAATGTTTCCACTCTGACTGTTTGAGGGATTCAATAACTACTTCTGCTTCTGATTGCTGCCTGTTTGCTTACACAATCTCTTTGCATCAGAAGATGGAACATCTGCATCTGGCCTTGCAGGGGCCTTTCTGACATGAGGTGACTTCCAGGTGCTCCCAGGGATGCCCTGTTTCACATTCATGGATGCTGCATTGGTGGTCACAGATCCATTATGGTTGGACTTGGACAAGTATTTGGCCCCAGGTCGACATTGATTCATGTCTGGCTCACTCAATTCTGACAGAGCCTGCTTAATATACAGTGCAAACTTGTTAGCCATAACAGTTGATTCAACATGACCAAACTTGCCTGGTGTGTGCACTTCAGGGTGGATTTCAGCTTTCCACCTTTTTTTCTGCTTGTTGACCCCTCCTCAGTTGGGTGGTCAGTGAAAGGAATGCTCTCCAATCCATCTTCATCTGCATATTCTGAGTGGTCCTGTAGATCAGTTGTGTACTTGTTCCCTGAGTGCAGATCAGGGTTTGCTGCAAATACAAGTTACAGCAGGAAGCTCACTATTCAGGGATGTTGCTGTTTTCTTTGAATTGGATAGGGTGGGCAAATAAGTGTCTTCATCAGCTTCATCATCAGAATCATGGCTGTTGCTTTCCTGCCTATTATAGTCAGTTAGCACTTTATTTTGTGGACAATGCACTGGGGTCTTTGCATGGGCTGGAGGTGCAGAGAGCCACTCACTATGGGAACCATCAGCTGGTGGGGGATTTGAGCAGGAATGAGAAGGGAATGGTGTCTTGGCATGGTTTTGCCTCCTGCCAGATACCTGAAGACCAGAATTGCATTAGTGCTGATCTGTCATGCATGAAAATCACACATGGCACACCTTTTTAGTGGAGGGACCATCTGTTCCAACATCACTTGCTTCAGCCTCACTGTGATCATCCAAACTGTCATCCACACTGTCATCTGGGCCATCATCCACACTGTCATCTGCACTATCATCCACCACTCCCTCTTACTGCACTTTACCCTTGCCCTTGACATTTTTCCTTCTGGGATTCTTTTTGCATTTGGGGGCAGGTGGCTTCTGGTATTTCTGCTGCCTCACAACCTGGAGGGGTGCCAAAGTTCTATCCACTGGTGGCTGCAGCTCACCAGATCAATTGATCCATTTCTGAAATCCAAACACATCATTTGGATGGGATTCCTGTCACTTGCACAAAAAGGACAGCAGCTGGGTAGCTGTTGTCATCCACATGTGACTTGGGTCACAGTTGAAGGTAAATCCTTCAGGAAGATGGTGGGCTGCTATCATTTCCACTTGATGATGACCAAAATTCTTGAACAGCACTGCTGACAAGGGATTTCCACATGCTAATCCTGATAGCACTCATCAGAGATTGAGGACACTAAATACTCTGGCCACTCACAGTAGTGAGCAGTCACAAATCCACAAACCATTTTTTGTAGTTGGTCCTGGCTAAGGCCCACAATTTCTCCTATCCAAATCTCTCCATCAGCATTTTTCACCAATTTCATGGAGTCAACCTTGCCAGTCCTTGTTGCTTTGGCCACTGTCTGTTTCTGAGCATGTTTGGGACTTGACTCACCATCATGCTCAGGCAGTGTTCCTGGTTCCTCAAATGTTTCCCCAAGGTACTCTTGCCAGCTTCCTTCCAGTGTGTGGACATCATTGAAGGGGATTCCATCTGCAATTTCATTATTGAAGTCCATACTGTCATTGCATGAGTCTTACCTAGGCCTAGAGGAGAATATGGTGGACTCACATGCATGCCTGTATAGTTCCCTCCTCATTTTTCCACCCAGCCATTCACACTATGTGCATTCTGCAATACCTCCACATCTCCATCACAAAGTTTCAGACATACTTGTACCCATACTTGGCTGCATTCCTGGGAACCAGGATAAATTGAAGACTGGGAAGTTGACCTCATACAATCACACCTTGCATTTGTCTCCGGCATGGGGCCTTCCTGCCCATTCCACCTTTCTGCTATATCTTCAGCTGCAGCCAATTGTTCCTCTGTCAGGTTGTCCTGAATAAAAGCCATCAATGCATTCTGATACTGTTGGATCTGCTTGCTTCCATGGGTATTGCCTTCTTCTACTTTCATTTTTGCAAGCTTCTCCTGTATTTGCTCTTGGTACAATTTGCAGACCACTGCCTGCACAGAGTATTTGTCACTGGATCTAAGGGTAATGCAGGGCTTCTTTGAACAGAGGGGCTTTTTCAACCAATCTTGTATTAGCTACAAGGGTGCTTTGAATTGTGAGCATCTGAATCAGAACTTTTAGAGCATACCTTGCACTTGGTCTGGACTTTTCTCCCTCTCAACTCCTTGTTCCTGTCCAATTGCTGCATCTCCTCCCATATGGATAGCAGAACTGCAGGCTTCTCCTTCTTCCCTGCTTGCCTCCATTCTTGGCATTGGTGCCCAAGGATCTCCAACTCTTCCACTTCAAACCTTTCTTCCTCCCTTTCCCCCACATCTGATGGTTCTATGTCTTGCTCACTATCAGCATCATCTCTTTCCATCTGATCCCAGGCATCTGATTTGTACTGGGACTCCATGGAGTATGATGTGGTATGATGTATAATGGTGTATAATAGATGGTTGGCTACTAAGTTTTTTTGTGCCCCTGTTTGGTCTCAATGCATTTCAGTACTAGTGCAGTCATGCCAAGGAATTCATTCAGAGCTCCATGAAGCAACTGAAATATCCAATCAGACTGATCTCTTTGACAGGATCCTGCCCAAAGGCAGATTAGCTCCTGGTTTGCATCCAGGCTGTCAGTTGGCTTGCCCAATCATATCCATACTTATATTGATACTGAACATCTCATTTCACCTTCATCAGCTAATATAGCATCCAAATTCACCATCATAATCCAGGCAAAGCACCCAGGTAATGTTGCAGCAGGAAGGGAATGTGCAGGCAGGGATTGCGCAGTAATAAGAAGGCAGCACCATGCATTGTGCAAGGCCAGTGTAGTTGCATTTGTATTTATGCCCTGACATGTGTTAAGGTACTGACATCAATAGAGCCAAATGATAAAGTGACTTGTGCTAGTGGTAGCATTTCTAACAACTGACCTCATACTGTGAAATCAGCAACCTCCAGATGGCCAAGGGAAGCACTCAAAAGGGTATGAGAATGATTGGTCCTACCCCAGGCCATTGGGTGAAGCAGCTGGAAGTCAAGACTCAGAGAACTGGAGGTAGATATAGATTGTGATTGGTAGAAGTCACAATCAAACAGCCAGATCCAACAACCCCTGTCCATTCTCCCTGATCCTCACCATCCAAGCATTCAAGGTCTCACTCCCACAAGTACCTTGATACATGGGCAGATTCAGCCTTCAATGGACATGAAAGCATGAGCCCACTGGTCCAGCAACTGATGTTACCATGGAAAAAGGTATGCAGCAGTTCACCAACCCAAAAGTGGACTTCACATGGTGTGTCAGATGCAGAATGATTACATCCACAAATGGGTTCCATGGAAGGGGGAGTTCTTGAAGATACTCCTGGAGCTGGAAGCCTCCCCAGAGCCAAGAAACTGCACCTGGTGTGGCAATGACAGGGTATACAGATGTCTGGATTGCTTGCATCAGCCCCTATTCTGCACAGAATGTTGCTGGAAGAGTCATGAGAGCCTGCCTTTCCACAGGATCCAACAGTGGACAGGGGACTTCTACAAGGAATCTGCCCTCCACATGGTGAGAGATCAGTTGGTTGCCCAGAATTACATTCACATCAAGACCCACAGACTGGTGTTCAGTTGCACCTAGGACGTGGCGGAGCACCCTGTCCCCATGCAATTGCACAAGCCCAGCAAGCAGCAGGTGAACCTCTGCCCATGGATGATCAAGAATGGGAAGATGTGGAAGATATCAAAGAAAACCCAAAGCACCTCCATCCTCCAGTGGGGTCAAGATATCTCACTGTCATGGATGTCACAGGTGTTCATTTCATTGTAGTGAATTGGTGTGAATGCAAGACTTCAGAAACCCAATACATATGGTTACTCAGAGCCAAACTATTTCCCTCAATGTTCAAGAAGCCAAGCACCACATTCACATTCACAGTTCTGGATGACTTCCTGAGGGACAACCTGGAATGTGGAACATCCAGTATGAACTATTACAGCAAGTTGCATTGGATCACATCCAGTGTGTTTCCACACCTTGTTCCAGTAAGATTTGGTATTTTGGTTCCAAGTGTTGGAATGTCTGAAGGGTCAATCAGGATAGATACCATGAGCTTCTATGGGTTGCATGGAAATGGCAATACCTCAAGCTACTTAAATGGAATGGATTCCATGGGACAACCAGGTCAGCAGAGAAAGGCAGACTGGCATTATTTTGCACAGCATGCCCCCAGCCTGGAATAAATGTTGATACTAGTGAGGATTTGGACCAGTAAGCAGCTCCAATAATGCAATCCTCATATGCTGACCTTCTCCAGCTGGTGGTTCACCCACACAGTAGTAATGGATGGAAACTTTAAAGCAGAACACATGCATGAGCAGAAATCTGAAGATCAGGTGTGGTTGATGGATGGACTAGGTTATATGGTGACCAATCCGCACTACATGGACCATTTGAAGGCCACTCCACATATTGTGGAAGTATGAATTCATTCAACCTGTTGTGGGACACTACCTCCAGGTAGTGTGTGATTAGGGGGGAAGCTGTAGGGCAATCCCTAGGCTTGACCCAAGGGGTGCTGAGTAGGAAGGAGACATAGAATATGGTGGTAGGGTCAATTGAGGAGTCAAATATGGGGCACAGAATTTAATTCTGCAGAGATGTAGGCAAATTGGGAACCAGTAGACTTGTATATGAAATTCCAAGTCATGAGCTTGGCATGAAGAAGTAACTCTAAGACTCATGAGACATGGAGGTGAGACACAGAAACACAGAAGACACAGTAGATGCAGAGTACATGGCAGACACTTTTGAACACTTAGACACACAAATGACTTGGATAGTGACTCCAAAAGATGGGTGGGTATATTTCCAACATCATGGTGGAATTATATAGTACAAGGGAAGTAGGTATGGGTCAGAGTAAGGTGGGGCAGAAAAACTAAAAGACCAGAAAATAAAGGAAAGGACATCAGATGTCAGTGAAGTACAGATGCACATGAAATAGTCTGGTGGGTAGTAGACAAGAGTAAGAATGGAACAATGGTAAGGGGTATCTTTGAACAGAATGAGAGTATGCATACAAGTGGGAGGTGGAGCTGAGTGGCACAGGGGGACAGAGCATAGCATACTGGCACAAAGTCCAGGGAAACTGGAGTTTATTAGAGGTAAGTGGCACAGATGACCAGTGACATGACTGAGTGGTGGCATGGCTGCTGAATTCCAGGTGACTCTGCACAAACATGGAATTTCCAGATCAGCAATTTGATGACTGAGCAACATGCTGAAGGGTGGTAGAAACTCTGAAGGCAACAGGGGTCAGGAGGAAACATGAGGACATGAGCAGGAAAAATTCCAAAATGGGTTTGTTGTAGAGACCTGCAGAATTTAGTGACAGATTCCTGTTCCAGCCTCAGGGAGTATACAGCTCCCTACACCTCCTGGGAACATCAAATGCTGACTGTCCTTGGTCAGACCAAACTGAGACATGACAGAGATGAGCATGGAATATTGGCAGATGTTATGTAACAATGATGGCATGTGGTTGGAATTCTGCCTCATGCAGAGGGAAATTCTGCATTGTACAAGATGGCCCTGTGGAATTTAAATGTGCTCAGAAGGTGTCTCACTGCTTGTCAAACATCCACACCCCAGCTACACCCACACCCACTACCCAATCCATACCCAACCTTCACCATGCAAGCCTACTTGACCCATGATGCATGACCAGTTTGCAGCATGAGGGACCAGGCCATCACCTCGCTGTTGGCAGCATTAAGGCACGTTAGGGTGCTAATTGACACAGTGCCACAGCCCAAAGAGAGCTTAGAGGCAATATATGAGTGGGTGGAGGACTGGGACCAGACCTGGGTGAATGTGCTAGAGACCTGTGCAACACAACACACTGACTGATCCCCAGGCTGGGATCTACTCATGGTGGAAGTACATTGATGAGAACAAGATTTCTATCCTGAAGGTGTGCAATGCCAACCTACATGACCTGACCAAGGAATCTGCGATATGGCAGAATGAGGCAATCCCTGTGGCAATAGCAATAGTGGATCTCTGGCAGCCAGAAGGGCAGCATAGGTTCAACATTAACAACCTTTTCAAGGACTACCAGGAGCAGGTAGAGGAGAGAGCGCAGATGGAGGCTGAGAGGTCGGCCAAGGCACCATCCATGTGCACCCAGGGCCAAGCAGAAAGAGGTGAGGGCCAAGACCATGCACCAGAAGACACCAAAGGAAACCTGTCAAGAGGAGCTGCACACTCAACAGGGGAGGGCTCTGGTAGTGCAAGCAAGGGAAAAGGGAAGCAGAAGGTGCACTCTACAGCCTTGACAACCCTGAGCATGCATGCTGACTTCAATGAAAATTCTGCAGGCCACCAGCAAGGAGGACAAGCTGGCTGACAACATTGATGATGATGAGGGTGATGGCGACCCAGGTCCATCCACAAAGGGACCTTGCACAGCTGGGGACAATGAGCCCTGCAAGACATGTGCCCAGGCAAACCTCACATGCATCAGGGAGCCAGAGGCATCCTGCAAATGGTGCAGGAAGGCGAAACACAAGTGCTTGCACTCTCAAGGTGTAGGGAGAAAGGTGAGTACTGCACAGGTGAAAATCCACAAGGGAACAAGTTGGCACCACCTTCAGTGAAAGAACTCCAGTACCGTTGGGGAGGCAGGGCCATCCCACAAATGAGTCAAATCGTTTATGACCTCAAAGCCAGCCCCAGCAGAATCTGCAACCAAACCTGTCAAGAAGCTTACTCTGAAAATTCCAGCTTGAAAACAGCAGCCTGATCCAACCCCCATGTGCTCGCCTTTGCCAGATCCAGCCCCTTCACTTTGCAATCCTTTGCCAACACCCTGTCTCTTTTTCTGCAGAGCCTCTCCAATGCCCAGACCTTCACCCAAGCCCTCACCAGTCCCTGTCAACAATCCCCATGCATCACTTCCAATCAATGAACTGCAAGTCGAGATTGAACTGTTTTTTGCAACTGTGACCAGTTTACTGGATGAACCTGGAGACATTGAAGTGACAGCCCAGAGTGACACTCCATCAGCCATGGAAATTCTGGAGGTTGAATACCCATGTGAGTGGTCAACAGTGAACATTGTTGAGCATCTGTGAGTGCTCAAGGTGAGGGCCAAGGATGAGGAATTCGAGCTGGAGCAGGTCTACTGGCTGCTGGAGATGTTGGTGAGGCAGGTAACACATCGGATCGAGACTGCATGGGCTAGATGGGAGGAGCTGCAAAGGTTGAAGGACGATCTCCAGGACCTGTAAATAGCATACTAGAGTCTGTGGAATTTTTATTTTTATTTTTTTTGACTCCTTCATGTGAGTGGTGCAGAATTTATAGAAGAGATGAGATGGGTATTGATAAAAGAAAGAACAGGGGAAGAAAAGAAAGGAGGTAGAGAGAAGGACAGACTACTCATCTGACTCGTCCAAAGGGATGCCAGCAAGTGTAGGGTCTGGGAACACATCATCTTCAAGATGATCCAGGTCTTGTGAGGAAGCACCAGTCAGCTGGGTGACTTCAATTCAAGCGTTATTCCATGGGAAATAGGGGTATAGGCAAAACACAGCAAAGTGGAATTTTGAGATAGTGCCATCTAATTCTGCAAGTATGTACAAGCCACCTTTAGTGCATCTGACGATGATCATAGGCCCTAGGTAGCATGGTTTGGTTTTCCAGTTGAGTTCCAGTTCAATACAGGAATTCCACATGAGGACAAGCGACCCTGGTTTGAAGTTAAAGTCTTTGATAGAACATGCAAAATGGTTGATGAAATCCTTGGCTGAGGCAAAGTGGGATTTTAGGACCAGATTGTGGATGTGAGCAAGGTCCTCTGGGCATTTCTGGAGTTGGCAAGCATGGTGAGCAATGAGGTCTGTGGTCAAGTAAAACTCTGCCTTGAAAGGTGCTAAAAATGTCACTTCGACCAGATCAAAAGGGAGTCTGGGTTCAACACCATGAGCCATATAGAATGGAGAAAACCCAGTTGCCTTGTGGACCATAACCCTCTCTGCCCAAAATACTGCAGGGGCTACTTCTGACCACCTTGATGCTTCCCCACTACAACTTTTTACCATCACCTCTCTTACATCAAAATGCTGCTGTTTGACAACTCCATTAGCCTGCAAGTTATAAGGAGAAATGCATATGTGATGAATTCTGAAGGTCCTGGAGAGCTAGTCGAGAGGGAGAACATGTGGTCCCCTATTATCTGTGACAATCTCCTCAACAACACCCCAACAGCACAGAATCTGTTTGAAGATGAACTTTCTAATGGACTTGCCTGTCTCTGCATGAAGCATAGCCCATTCAGGGTAACTGGTGAGTGAACAGTGGGCTTGGGTGACATAGCAAAACCCATTTGACTTTGGCATTAAGAACATGTCCATGTACACTTTATAGAATAGGGGTTCTGGAATGGTGATGACTGGCAGAATATGTACACAATCTGAACAGCAGATTTGGCATTTGTGACATGACTTGATGTACCAGTGGGTGTCCTGCTCTAGCATAGGCCACCAGAAATGAGTCAGCAAATGCATGCAGGTCAAGTAGATACCCTTGTGTCCTAGCTCATCATGAGCCTGACAAAGGATCCTGAGGCATTTGTGTGGTGTGACTACTAGTTGGTGATGTCCTTGAGGCTCTTTTCTCCACAGCTCTCCTCCTTTAACAAAATACCACATGGTGAGACATACTAAGCTCTCCAATTCCCCTTCCTCCAACCCTTCTGGTGTCTTCCTTGTTTCCAAAAACTCCTTCACCACTTTTAACCTCTTCTCTTTCTGGATCGCTTTCTCTGACCTCGGAATTTCAGTGTTGAGGATTCCAGGCATCGATTCTTTGGCAGTAAAGATACCTAGGCTCTGTGACAGGGCAAGAGATGAGTCTGGCACAATGCTCAAGATTCCCAAGGGGTAAGGTTGAGACTTGAAATGTGCTTCCCTATGATTCAAGAGCTTGACTGTGAAAGCCCCACACTCATCTATCCAATCCTCATAGTCTTTGTCTCCCTCCTCATCCTCTTCTGCTTTCAGTCTCCTTGAAAGACTGTCCAGCTGCTGCATGCTTGTGTGCAGGGACATGTATGAGCTCAAAATTGAACAAAAGAATTCCTGCAATCCAGCAGTTTATGGTAGTGTTGGGCTGTAAGTCGGGATTGTTAATCATCCCCTTTATATATTGCATGTCAACCTCGACAAAATTCTGCATGCCAAAAATGTGAAGTCTGATGTCATGTAAAGTGTGGAAAAGACCAAAGAACTCCAGTTTAGCTTGACTGTAATGGTGTTCACAGTCATTGAGAGTTATTGAGCTGAACCTCACAGGGTAGCATTTTTCATCTTCCCCCTCCTGCATGAGGAGGTATCCTACAGTGATATTCAAAGTGTCGACCACTAGAATGACCTTCCTTTCAGAATTGTAGTCAATAGTACATAGTGCAGGAGACGAGATGATAGCCTGGCATAAATATTCCATGGCTTCTCTGTGTTTGTTGTGGAATTTGAAGGGGACATCTTTCTTGGTCAGCTTGATGAGGGGACATGCATGTTTAGCAAAGTTTTTGATAAAGATCCTGCAATACAAACAAAGACCTAAAAATCCATGCACTTCAGTAACATTTGTGCAGTAGGGCCAGTCTTTAATCTTTTGGACTTTAGCTTCATCTGGAATTCTCCCCTCAAATGACACCTTATGCCCAACCACTATGATAGACAGCACAGTGATGTCACACACCAAAGGTGTTTGGTGAGGTGGACATGGATACAGCTGATGAATGGAGATGAAGACCATGGCCCTCATGCAAAGGACAGCCAGGAATGTCAGCAGTCATCCCTTGCACAAGAACAGGTCATCAGTGCCAGAGAAAAGGAAAGGGAGCAGGTTAAGTGCTGGCTAAAATTCTCAAGCACCCATGTACAGCATTCCAGTTTTCAACATATCTCCACTGTTTCTGCAGATACCAAGACCATTCCCACACTTGCTTGTAGTGCTCAGCCATGCGATCTTACCTTCCAAAATTGGAAAGGATTTGCAGACTCCACACATTTCTACAGCACTCCCTCCAAAAGACACTCATTTCACTAAATTCTTCTGATATGGCTGCCTCTACATCAGTCATTTTGCTTGTCCCCTTTGCTAGGGACCATGGCTACATATATCTACCAGGAGTTCCTACCAGCTTCTGTCCTGAAGCATCCTGGTACATCCCACCCTCGTCTGTGCCCTCTCAGCCCATCTAGCTTGGACAGCATGTTCTTTTTGTCAGTATGACCTCTAGGAGGATGTTCTTTGGTCACCTCAGGTCTGTCATTTGCTTGGAAAGGTATTATGTGGTCATTTCAGTCTCTCTGGTCCAAGAAGCATATGGATCCTTCCTCCCTGCTCCCTGCAATGTCTTCATACCGGTCTTGTCCATCATTCTTCCAAGATTGTGACAGCTACAGTATAATCTACTGTTCCCCACTCTCCCTGATCACATCCATGACAAGTATGATGCACATCTTGCCTCCTTGTTGCAAGATGTGGCAGAAGACACTCCCCCTTCATCCTCTCTTCCAACAGAGCCTCATTCATGAAGTTTTTATTTGCTTCACTGAGAGGATGGTTTGGGGGGGAAAGTTGTGATCCCCTATGCTCCTGTCACCCCACAGACCCCCAAAGCTTGACCCCTGTTGACATCTGACTCACCCTGTCCACTTTTGGATGTACTATATTGGCATCAGATCAGCACTGCCTCTCTGTCATCCCACCTTGGCCTAGAAGTGATCTCTTTGAGATGTGACATGTGCAGCCTCCCCCTAATGTGATTCCAGTGTGCTTTCCCAGTTCCTGACATTACTTGACTCATACTTTGATGTTCTGACTGTCTCTGACTCACCTATTGCCAATACTTACCAATCTTTTGACTTTGCTTACTGATTCTTCACTTTTTGGCTTGCTAATCCTTACCAATGTTTACCAATGCTTTCCAAGATGATTACCCATCACTTACATTCCTTACTCATCAGTTACCAATCACTTACCAAGTGTTTGCACCTTGTTTTCCAAGGGCAACATCCCTGTACTGTATATAAATCACTGTACTTAGATAGCAAAAAAAGAGAAGATGTCAGAGAGCCCCTCTTGCTCGCATTTTATCATCACTCAGTAATTCATTCAGCAGCTTTGATAGTTGAGACTTTATTAAGGGTCTAACTATTGTCTACTTTGCTTATCCTTGTCTATCATCAATATACTTCACTCCAGGCCCTCCCTGAGCTCAGTGCAGCTTAGGACATCAAATTAAGTTGCCATCCATCCTTCTGTAGGCTGACAGCAGTCTACCCTATTGCATTCTCTCACATTCCTGCTTCTTCTTCATCAGGAGCACCCCCAACCCTCAGCACTCATCTTTGAGTGTTGTAGCTTGCAAAAACCCTCCCAAAGAACAGGTTCTACCATCTAGGTACTGCATAGGCACACCACCACTTGCTCTTTTTGTCTTTTGTGTTGGTTTTGGTTGGTTTTCACCACTGAACCACACTTTGACTCACAGCAATGATGCATTTCTTTGCTGAGACAGTAGCTCCTGTGTGATGTAGACAGTGTAAGACATGGTTGATGTTCTGTAGGTGCTCCCAGATGAAGTGTCTGATCCCAGAATTTTGTGGGATTATCTGGTAGGAACTGTCGGAATTTTGGTAACAGGATTTTGGACCTTTGATTGGGCAATCATTGATGAAAGGGATGGTTACTTCAGGGATTTCATCCTTCAATATCCAACAGATGTCCCTGTGGAAAATCTGGATGGCATTCATGTAGCCCATAGGTAACTTAGTGAGTCATAGAGTACTGATAGGAGTTTGGAAGGTAGTGAGGTCATGGTAATTGTCATGTATAGTGCGATGATTGTATCTGACCATAAGATCCAAAATTCCATAGACAGAATGGCAAGCGAAGGTTTCAGCAATTGAATCGATGAAGGGGGGAATGGCTGAGTCCTGGATAGAAACAGTGTTTAGAGGTTGCAAGTCATGGACAAGGTGCAGAGATTTTCCATCCTTCTTGACTATGCAGAACCATTTTGAGCAATAGGATGAGGTAGATGGTTCATAAACACCTGCAGAAATCTTTTCTTTGATGATGTTAATGACTTCATGGAACATAGCAGGGGGAATGGGAATATTTCACTCAACCTAGGGTTTGTGGGCTAGCATAGGTATCTTTAGGGGTGGGAACATGTCCTCTTGAAAGGTCCCTCTTTCTGAAGCATCCCAAGCAA